TGGCCAAATGGCACTTTTCAGCTGGGCACAACTCCACCAATACTCTGCAACCACAGCAAATATTCCAAACATTCTACATGATCTCCCGTCCTTGAAGACCTCAGGCCTCTCCATTAGTTCATTGCAAGTCTGCCTTGCAGTGATTAATGCCTTCCTCCCTCCAGTAGATTGACATTCCGTGTTCACTCATCCAACTACAGTATGGTTTATGAAAGGCCTTGTCAGGACCTTTCCACCAGTGATCAAACCTACACCTCAATGGGACCTTAATCTCACCCTGTCAACTCTCACCAGTCTGTCCTTCAAACCCTGGTGACATGATCCACCTGTTCATAAAGGTGGCATTTTTAGTGGCTACCATTTCAGCCAGGAGGGTCAGTGAGCTTGGAGTCATCATGGCAGACCCTCTTATACAAGTTTTCACAAAGACAAGGTTTCCCTTTCCCTATACCTTAAGTTTCTCCTCCAGGTTGTTTGAATTCCATATTAACTAAAGTATTCATTTACCTGCATTTTTCCCAAAACCCTATGCTTCTGCTGAAGACAAAGGACTTCACTCCCTCGATGTCCAGAGTGCCCTTCCATTCTACCTGCAAAGAACCAAACCCATTAGAAAATCATTGAGACTTTTTACTGCTCTAGCAGAAAGATGATGTGGTCAAGCCATATCCTCCCGGAGGATTTCTAAGTTGGTTCTGGGATGCATCCTACAGTGCTACAGGGTAGCAAAAATCCCTTCCCTGGGGATGTGACAGCTCATTTCACAAGAGCACAGGCTGCCTCAATGGCATCCCTACATGACGTCCTGCTACAAGACATTTGCAAGCAGCCACCTGAAGTTCTATCCATACGTTTGCAACACACTATGCTTTGGTTCATGCATCAGCTGTGGATGCAGTCGTGGGATCTGCAGTACTGCAAGCATCTTTGCTACTGTCTTCCTCGCACCCATCTCCAGCCTGAGCACTGAACATTAGAACATAAGAACAGCCATACTGGGTCAGACCAGTGGTCCATCTAGCCCAGTATCCTGTCTTCCAACAGTGCTTGTCAATCACTCAATTATGGAATACACATAGGAACCATCACTTGAAGAAGAAATAGAGGTTACTTACTGAAACTGGAAGTTCTTCAAGATTTGTGGTGCCCATCTGATTCCATTACCTGCCCTCCATTCCCTGTGCTTTGGATCCTGTTAGATTGTAGTAAGACGAGGGAGTGGAGAGGCGTCCGCCTGCACTGTCTCTTATCCCTTTGTCAAGAGCATGAGGAGACCTATGGTGTATGTGTGGGCCAACGTTCAGTGCTTGTAAGAATGTCCAGACTCAAGCATGAGGCATGCCTGCATACCCATGTGTGGAATACAGATAGGGACCACACATAGAATCATAGAAATGTAGGGTTGGAAGAGACCTCAGGAGGTCATCTAGTCCAATCCCGTGCTCAAAGCAGGACCAACACCAACTAAATCATCCCAGCCAAGGCTTTAAAAACCTCTAAGGATAGAGATTCCACCACCTCCCTACGTAATCCATTCCAGTGCTTCACCACCCTCCTAGTGAACTAGTGTTTCCTAATATCCAACCTAGACCTCCCCCACTGCAACTTGAGACCATTGCTTCTTGTTCTGTCATCTGCCACCACTGAGAACAGCCTAGCTCTATCCTCTTTGGAACCCCTCTTCAGGTAGTTGAAGGCCCTCACTCCTCTTCTGCAGACTAAATAACCCCAGTTCCCTCAGCCTCTCCTCGTAAATCATGTGCCCCAGCCCCCTAATCATTTTCGTTGCCCTTCGCTGGACTCTCCAATTTGTCCACATCCCTTCTGTAGTGGGGGGGACCAAAACTGGACGCAATACTCCAGGTGTGGCCTCACCAGTGTCGAATAGAGGGGAATAGTCACTTCCCTCAATCTGCTGGCAATGCTTCTACTAATACAGCCCAATATGCCATTGGCCTTTTTGCCAACGAGGGCATACTGCTGACTCATATCCAGCTTCTCGTCCACTGTAATCCCCAGGTCCTTTTCTGCAGAACTGCTGCTTAGCCAGTCAGTTCCCAGCCTGTAGCAGTGCATGGGATTCTTTCTTCTTAACTGCAGGACTCTGCACTTGATCAGATTTCTTTTGGCCCAATCCTCCAATTTGTAGTAGTGCTAGGGCTACGGAAAAGGTTAGTGACTGCTCCTCTCCTTCAACCAGACGGACAGTGCAGAACAGGGATTGGTCCTGACACAACCTACTGGATAGATGAGGTCATCTGCATTGTGACATCCAACCAGAGGCAGATTAAGCTTTTGTGTGGCCCTGGGCCAGAGCAAGTGGGGGCCCCTCCCCATCCCTTCTGCCTACAATCAACCCCCCCACACATACCTCGTGGGGAAATGGGGTTGGGGCATGGGGGCTTGCCCCGCCTCGCTCCCCCACCCAGCACTCCTGCCAGGGAGCAAGGTCAGGGTGCGGGGGCTTGTCCCATTCCACTCACTCAGCACTCCTGCAGGGCAGCAGGGTTGGGGTACAGGGGCTTCCCCTGACCGCCCGGTGCTCCTGCCAGGGAGCAGGGTCGGGGCACAGGGGCTTGCCTCACTCCCTGGCAGGAGCACCAGGCAGAGCGGGGCAAGCCCCTGTGCCCCGACCCCGCTCCCTGGCAGGAGCGCCAGGTGGGTGAAATGGGTCGGGGTGTGGGAGCACACATATTTCTGGGGGGCCCCAATTGGCAAATCCACCACTGCATCCAACTGCTCTGAAGAGCTTCTGACCAAAGAAATCACTGCATTTTCACTTACCACACACGCAGAGATCCAGTCCCACTCCTTCCTCCTAGATAGCTCCAAGCCATATGGGGCTCTGTAGCGGGGTGGCTACCCCACTCCTGCCCGGAGAGGTTTGAAATAGCCTTGGAGGAGGGCTGCAGCTCTAAAAGCTGGGCTGATTGGAGAAGCGGCCGCAGCTGGGCCACGCCCCAATCAGGCCCCAGCTGGCCTATATAAGAGGCTGGGAGCCAGGCGCTTGATAGTCTCTCTGAGTGCAGAGAGAGAAGGGCCTGGCTACAGGGAACTAGAGCAGAGTACCTAGGTGGAGCAGGGCTGGGGAGCTCCAGCCTGGAAAGCCCCAGGCTGTGGTCTAGTGTTAGGCCAGGAGGTACTAGGGGTTGCAGAGGGCAGCCCAGAGATAGGCCAAGGCAGCAGGCCCAAACCCAACCTTGCCTGTGATGAGTGGCTGATACTGCAGTCTGCCCCTGGGCGTGGGGCTAGATGGTGACTGACAGTAGCCGGATACCAAGGCGAGGTAGGGTTAGTGGGTGGGGTTCCCCTGGGAGGGGAGACCTAGCATGTGGGTACTGCCAGGGTGCAGCATCCTGAGCAAGGGGCACCGGGGTCCTGGGCGGGACACGGGGCCAGAAGTAGAGAGCAAGGCAGATCGCCGGCCTGCAGAGGGTGTCCCGGAGGCTGGGTCGAGCTGATTCCCCGAAGCAACCAGTAGGGGGCGCCGCAGGGGTGAGTCCGTACCCTTACAGGCTCAATCTGACTATATTATTGTTATTATTTAATGTTCATCATGCAGTATGGTCTAAAGGCCATAGCCAGGTTGGTCCCTGTTGTGCTATGCCTGGTATTCCAGTTTCTTCCAGGGAATTGAGTTTCTTACACTGGAATCACAGCCTGTTAATTTTACACTGTCCCTCAACCAGTTCAGAAAGAATTACTGGTTTGGCCATTATTCAATAATCTATTAGGAAGAAACAGGCTAGAGCTAACAGTTTTGGACAAGTTCGAATGACATCTTCCCTTTCCCATTTCGGAGACAGTCCCTAGCCACAGTGTGAAATGCCCACTTACAAATCGATTGCCTTGCCCTGTCCTGGTGCAGTTTTCCTATGTGTACATGTGAGCATGTGCATGAGCCTGAGTTTAAATGTTTATCTCTGCATTTGGACATGTACACAGGAATGTGCTTGAGCTTGTTTGTGTAAAATAACTGGGGTCTGGATCTTCTCTGAATCTGATTTTGTTCTTTACAGAACAACTTTGGGCCAAGATACTTGAATTATTTAAAAGGGAAAAGTGGCTCCCGAATGGGAGGATCAATGAACAAAATCCCCTCTGCCCCAGAGTCTTTTTTGTCATATTTTCTAGGTTTATCTTCTGCATTCCCTTCCCACATCTCTTATTTTCTTCTCACATCACTTACCAAAACTCCTGCCCCCAACACTTCTGAATTTAGCAATGATTTTGAATATGAGCGTGGATCTGGTTCTGAATTTATCCACTCACTCAGTATTTATAATGAGCGGAACCAATACCCCATTGGCTTCTGCTCTATAAAAAATTGAAATGAAACCCTCATCTGTTTGGGGTTTCAGCAATCTGAATCCAGATCTGAATTCTGCACTTCAGCCTCATTTCCAATAATGATCCACAGTTCGGTCCAGGCCGAGGGAGGCTTCCCAACCTCTCCTTTTTTGTAAAGGGACCGCTAGGTACAACAAAAATAACACTCTACTCCTAGGATTACAGGCTAGAAACCTGCTGCTTTATTCAAATGCATCTCAAACAAATTTAGTTTGTGGGGGTATGGAACTCCCAGTGACAAACATAATGTAGGCAGGGGTAGAGCATGGCTCCAACCCCTAATATTTTGGGTAACTCGTTTACCCCATGATGACCACTTTATGACATCCTTCACAAGCACACACATCTGTAGTGATCCCAGTAGAGCTGTAGAATGGACAATAGTCTTCACAACCTTCTATAAGTTCATTCAGGAGACTTTCACTGCACTTACCTAGTGGGAGATGATGTACTTTGCTGATAGTGACAGACCAGGGGAATGGAGACCATCTCTGGATCAATAGTGATAGAGCCTGGCTGCTCGTCTCGTTGGCCCTGCCAGGAACTCTGACAGTGATGGACAGGGATTGGTCCTGACAGAACCTCTTGGAGGTATTAATATGCTAAAAATCTAGCACTGTCTTTAAAAAAAAAATGTTTTTGCTTTTTAGGAGACCGGGGCATGAAACATTTGTGCTGCCAGGATGAGCTGCTAAAGACTTGCCTCTCCCTTTCACATGCCCGATCAGTGCTGATAACCACTGGATTTCCTACTCACTTCAACCACGAGCCACCTGAAGAGAATGATGGACCTCCAGGAGCCATTGCTATGGCAGCCATGTTGCAGAGCTTGGAGAAAGATGTTGTTATAGTAACAGACCAGAGAGCCATGGGTTTGAATAAAAAGATTATTGAGGATGGTGTTCAGCAAGGTAAAACATGCAGTTAGGCAACAAAGACAGTTAGCTTTTCAGTTTTAATTTGCTAATCTGGTTCAAGCTCTATTTCAGTGCAATCTCTAAATTAGATCAGGCCTTTAAGAAGTGCTTTAACATATAGACAAAACGGGCCAGATCCACACCTGGCTAGATCAGCATAGCTCCATTGACTTCATTGGAACTACTCTGATTTGTACCAATTGAGCATCTAGTCCCTAATCTTTTGAAATCCATCTAGAATCTTTCTTCCTATTACCATTGTATTTTGAAATTTAGTGTATCATCAAAAAGAAAGAGGTGAGAAGAGAGCTTATTTTTAAAGTGTCTTCATCCCTGCACATCTTCTCATTTTTGTCAGTCCAAATAATGTCTCTAGACTCTGACTTGTAGCTCTGAATTGTGCAAAAGCTAAAGATGGGCAACTAGTGCAGTATTTCCAACTGGGAAATATTGTCTTACACAATCATATGTGTGCTAGAATCACTTTACAGTTCTAACTGTTCTGTTCTTTTAAAATCCAAGCTAAGCACACAAAAAATGACCTATGGAATCCATTTTGTATTTTTGTTCGCTTTAGGGGTACTGAAGACACCAGTGCCTCTATTGAGTTATCAGGGAGATGCTGCAGAGTCAGCTTTGATGTTTCTGTGTGAGAATGGAAATCTTGAAAGACCCAGGTATGTGTACTAAGTTCCTGAAAATGAGTAGCAAGGAGGCTATGCAAAGTCATAGTAAAAGGAACAGCTCTGTTCACAGAAGATATGATTGCAAGCAAATCTTTGAAGTATGAAGTATCTGCCAATCAGATTGTTTTGTTTCTCTTTTTAAATGACTGTTTTTATAAAATATATATTAAGTAAATATTACAATAGCAGTTGAAGGTCTGAAATTAAAGGAAGAAAATTCTGAGTCAAGGACTCCACTCTGCTGTAGTATTGCAGCGCATGTGAAATACAGGATTCCACATTATTCTGAGACCTCTGCAATCCCAATGCACAACAGGAAATGGGGAAGGAAGTACATTACTTTGCATTTATATGGCACCTTTCAGATGAAAATTTTAAAGAGCTCTACAAACATTCATTAACTTACACTACACTTGTGAAATACTGTACATCATTATCCCCATCTTATCAATGGGTAAAGTAGGCCACAGAGAGATTAAATGTCTTCCCAAAGACTACACAAAGTCCTGTGGCAGAGTCAGGAATAGAATCCTGGAGTCCAGGACTGTAGTCCACTTTCATCCACGCTCAGATCTTTGATAATCCATTTTATTCTAGTATGCAAAATCCTCCTATCTGTTTTTAATGGTCTGAAAAAGATCCTCATTGTCTTTAGACACCCCAGCCAACATTTTTGAAGAGTGGATGTAGTTCTGAAAACTCATTCAAACTATGCAAGTGCAAACTCTGATGTGCCCCAAAACTCCAATTTGAACATGCATATATTGAGGGTTTGTATACATGCACTGGAGTTTGCACTAAAATGTACGTACATTGAATATCTGGCCAACAACTTTCCTTTTAATGGACTTACTGGGTTTTTTTTCTTGAACTTTCTCTGTGTATAGGTGTGTAATGAAAGTCTAGGGCATATACAGCCATATTCAGTTAGCAGCCAATTCTCTTTAATAACAGCTTATCTAAATATATGCATCTTCAGTTCATTCAATTTTGATTTCTTTCTATGGGTTAATAAAAACTGTAATTTCAATAACACCCTGTTTTCATTTCTCATACACTAGGCTCAAGAGGATGCTTTTATAATTGAACATAATTCAGATACAGCTGATTTGTACCTCAATAGATCCCATAATCCTAGGAGGCTAAACTGAATATTTTTTCATGTTGGAAACTCAATTGCACAAGTACAACTGCAATCACAGTGTGTATTAGTCCATATCATAAAACCACTTAGTAACTTGGCACAATTGGTAGCCTCTATTCAGTAGAACTGGAGTAGCAGGATGTTGGACGTTGGGGTTGGGAGGTGGGGGGGGGGGGGGGGGGGGGGGGGGGGGAGAGGAATCCTAAACAGGGGCTGCCTAAAACAGATCCTGCCTGCACGCTTCCCATCCACATTTACAAGCACCAAATTTATCAAAAATGTTAAACAAAAGAAACCAAATAAATGGGTAACTTACAAGCAGTACAGTACTTTACATAGGAAATTATGAACAATAAACTGCACTTTGAGGATCCCTCTGAGGATCTTAAACTGCATTGCAAACTCTAATGATTTAAAACCAATATCCCTTTTTAACTGAGGCACAAAGAGGCTAAGGTCCAGATCCTCAAAGGTATTTAGGTGCCTAACCCTAAATATCTCTGAGGATCTGGGCTCTAAAGTGATTCACCCAGTGCTCCACTGGGTAGAGAAAGATTTCACCTCTCTCTCCATTCGTTGCTGGCAGTTTGAAGGGGCTGCATTAAAGCTACCAAGAAAACAAACCAAATATTGAAAACAAAATGTATAGGCCCAAATTCAAGAGTGAGATAAACTGTGCTGTAAATTACCTGTTGGATATAAGTTGGTGGGAAAATAGATGTACAGCAAATGATCCAATTTGGCATTCAGAGGCTTTGCAAAATGAGTGTAACTTGTGCCTAAGGAGACAGAAACGAAGTGTGTGGCAGGAAAAGCAACTGACAGAAAAATGTAAGATGTAAGTTTCACAATTCCCTCCCCCCCCCCTTAACTAATTTATCACCTTGTCTCTGACTAGATTTGATCAGCTGATAGCAATAGAACGTGCAGGGATGGCTGCTGATGGCAATTATTACAATGCAAGGAAAGTCAATATTAAGCATCTAGTGGATCCCATAGATGAACTGTTTCTAGCTGCACATAACATCCCTGGAGTCACAACAACAGGTAAGTGTGAGGCTGTGGCACCTCCTCAATGATAAGAGAAAGGCAAAACATAGAAAAGGAAGGGAGGATAAAGCGGCAGCCAGCTTCCAAAAGACTACTTCAGGACTGCCACTGTTTGTCTCTGCCAAATTGAAAGGACCAGCTAGCAGAAAAACATCCTTAGAAAGGTTTATATAATCAGAGAAATGTAGGGCTGGAAGGAACCTCGAGAGGTCATCCAGTCCAGCCCCTTGCACTGGGGCAGGACCAATATACCTAGAACATCCCTGACAGCTGTTTGTCTAACTTGTTCTTAAAAACCTCCAATAAGGGGTATTCCACACACTTCCTTGGAAGCCTGTTGTATTGCTTAGCTATCCTTATAGTTAGAAAGTTTCTCCCATCTCACCTAAATCTCTCTTATGGCAGTTTATGCCAATTACTTCTTGTCCTACCTTAAGAGGACATGGAGAACAGTTGATCACAGTCCTCTGTGTAATAGCCCTTAAGATATTTGACAAGTGTTATCAGCTCCTCCCCCCACTCTTCTTTTCTCAAGATTAAACATGCCCAGTTATTTTAACCTTTCCTCATAAGTCAGGTTTTCTAAACCTTTTATCGTTTTTGTTGCTCTCCTCTGGGCTCTCTCCAGTTTGTCTACATCTTTCTTAAAGTGTGATGCCCAAGACTGGACACAGTACTCCAGCTGAGGACTTCACCAGTGCTGAGTAGAGCAGGACAATTACCTCCTGTGTCTCGCATACAGTACTCCTGGTAATACACCCTAGAACGATACTAGCCTTTTTCACAATTGCATCATATTGTTGGCTCATCTTCAGTTTATAATACACTGTAGCCCTATTTTTTAATTAGTACTACTGCCTAACAGTTACTCCCCATTTTGAGTTATTAATTTGATTTCTTTCTTCCTAAGTAGTACTTTGACTTGTCTTTATTGAATTTCATCTTGCTGATTTCAAATAAATTCTCCAATTTGTCAAGGTTGTTTTCAGTTCTAATCCTGTCCTCTCAAGTGCTGGTATCCTCTCCCTGCCTGGTGTCATCCACAAATATTATAAGCATACTCTGTACTCACGTGTCTGAGCCACGTGACTGACCCCTTTGGGATCACACTAGATATGACCTCCCATTTTGACAGCGAACCATTGGTAACTACTCGCTGAGTATGGTCTTTCAACCAGTTTTGCACCCAAAACTTTACTTTATAGTAATTTCATTTAGAGACCACATTTCCCTAGTTTGCTTATGAGAATGTGGGACTCTGTCTAAAGGCTTACTAAAATCAAGATATATCAAGTCTACAGTCTCCTCCCTATCCACTAAGCCAGTAACCCTGTCAGAGAAGGAAATCATGTTGATCTGGCATGATTTCTTCTTGACAAATCCTTGTTGCCTATTCCTTGTAATCTTATCCTCAAAATGGTCACAAATTGATGTTTAATATTTGTTCCAATATCTTTCCCGATATCTTAGTTAGGCTGACTGGTCTATAAACCATCCCCGCCCCCCCCCCCCCCCCCCCCCCCCCCCCGGTCCTCTTTGTTTCCATTTTTAAAGATAGGTACAGTTGTATTCATTTTGATGGAATATATGGGCCCAAAGACTCAAAGGTATTAACATGATCCTGAAACTCTCTAACATTAAACAGTTTTAAACAAGATTCGGGGTTAGATATACAGAGACACAGCCTGCTGAGTACCATGGCAAATACACCATTAAAAATCCTTTTTATCTTTTATTAAATATACAGAAAGAAGGAAAAACAGTTAAAGTGTTTGAAACGTAAAATATTAAGTATGGCTTTCATTTAACCACATCCCTTGTTCCCTTTCCCTTTAGCTGAAGAAAGTTTTTAGAAAGAACTCCCCCTTGTTTGACAGTCTCTTAGATGGTATTAAAGATGGTAACTTCTGTCCATTTGGGGAAAAGAGAAGAAGTTAATTGAGCAGGTCTGATGCTGCTGTTGTCAGTGTTGTTTCTGAAGTCCAGTCCAGTTCGTCTTCGAGGAGTATCCTTGTGGGTGCTCCACTGTAGGTGTTCTGGTGCCCCTGCGCTGGTAATTAGAGATTTGTAGTAGCTGTGCTCGGTTGGGATGTGCATGCGTTGTCCCTGTCTCGTGTTACCTGAGGTGGTTACATAGCATTGCATGGCCAACTCCCCTCCCTCCCTCCCCCCCCTCAGTTCCTTCTCTACCACCTTTGGCTTCAGTCAGAGCACTTAGCAGCACCTCTTTATTGAACTTAGTTCACATAGTGTTTATTTAGATATAGCCTTCTTTCCTCTGTTTTATTATTTTATGATTTAAAAAAAAAAAGTGTGTGTCAGGATAAATTTCAGTTGTTAGTGACCCCTTAGCTTAGAGCTGTTCTCCCCTGAGTGAGAAAACCCCTCTCAGAGGGGCATGTCCAGCTCCCCGGGTTTCAAACGCTGCCTGACGTACAGGCTTTCGATTCCTATCTTGGATGGGCATTCGCAGTGTGTTCACTGCCTGGGCGAAGCACGTATACCACAGAAGTGCGCACACTGATAAACTGAGAGCCCACATCAGGAAAGCCAGAGAATTACAACTAAAACTCCTTATGTTGGAGAAATCCCTGCACCCAGAGACTGAACCTGAAGCATGGACTCCCCCCTGGACAACTGTCTCCCACAATAGCCTCTGACAGAAGCTCTCCCATGGTTTCTCAGGCAAAGGAGCTCACTGCCAACTACTGCGACAGGAAGTGACCAATCTTAGACAACTAGAACACAGTGGAAGGTGTTTTTACTCAGACTACTTTCTAACTCAGAAAAAATGGAAGGATGAGGCCCATTCTTGACGTGAGACAGTTCAACAAATTCATGAAGACCCAACATGAGGGATGAAGACCCAACACGGGGGAGGGATAGCTCAGTGGTTTGAGCATTGGCCTGCTAAACCCAGGGTTGTGAGTTCAGTCCTTGAGGGGGCCACTTAGGGATCTGGGGCAAAATCAGTATTTGGTCCTGCTAATGAAGGCAGGGGGCTGGACTCGATGATCTTTCAAGGTCCCTTTTCCAGTTCTAGGAGATAGGATATCTCCATTTAAAAAAAAAAAAAAATTCCAAATGATCACAATAGCAACCATAAGTCCAGCACTGGAAAGAGGGGATTGGTTCTCAGCCCTCAATCTCCAGGACACACATTTTCATATAATGATACAACCCTCACACAGGAAGTTTCTCAGGTTTACCCTCGGAACAGAATATTTCCAGCATAGGGTCCTGCCCTTTGGACTATCCACATCCCCATGGGTCTTCTCAAAAGTCCTTGCAGTGGTCGCCGCTCATCTCAGAAGATAAGGAATTATAATTTTTCCTTATCTCAGCGATTGCTTACTGACAGCACCAACCCAACAAGAGACAATAGAGGCTACACAAAACGCGGTAGGTCTCTTTACACATCTGGGACTACAAATAAACGTACAAAAATCAACACTGATACCTGTACAAAAACTGGTATTCATCGGAGCCTACCTCAATTCTCTGGAAGCTACAGCCTCCCTGCCTCAGCAACATTTCACAGCCTTATGAAATCTCATCTTCACAGCAGTGAACAGACCCTAGATCTTGGCCAAGACTTGCCTACAATTACTTGCCTACAATGTCAGCAACGACATTTGTCATCAAACACACAAGGCTACACATGCGCTGCCTGCAGGCCTGGCTCTGTACTGTCTACGTCCCAAACAGATACAATATACACAAATGCCTCACCATGCCAAAAAAGGTAAAGGTCTCCTTACATTGGTGGACATTACCAACCAATGTTTGCTCAGGGGTTCCCTTCGTCCAACATCCTCCAATGATGATAATAACCACGGACGCCTCCCTATTAGGCTGGGGAGAACACTTGAACACCCACACTGTCCAAGGCCGCTGGTCCTCAGCAGAATCTTTCCTTCACATAAATCTGTTGGAGCTATGGGCAGTTTGCAATGGCTGTTCCCATTTTCTCCCAATGATCAAGAACAAAACTGTGACAAGCCCCCCTTGGGGTGCAACATAGAACTGGGGTACCACTGAGCCCTCTGACTCCCCAGCCTGGGTTCCTTCTCACACTGTGCTGCTGTGACAAGGTGCAGACTGCTCCCGGTCCTACACTCCCATCAGCATTCACACAGGCAGGGACACACCCAGCTGCAGTTACATATAGGCTCTGGCCAGCCACTGCATGAACCAACAATAGAGAGGCTACAGCCAAAATACCCCTAGTTCCCCGCCCTAGGACTCCAGATCTCTACTGTCCTGCCCTGGTCAAAACCCAACCAGTATGAATTTATTACCCAGTATGCCCCTCCCTTGATGTGGAGAGGAATATGTACAACACCTTTGTTAACTGAGTTGAGATTTTCCCAACCACTTCACTCAAAAACAAACTGGTTAAGATAAAACATAAAATAAGTTTATTAACTACAGAAAGATAGATTTTAAGTGATTGTAAGTGATAGCAAACAAATCAAAGCAGATTACCTAGCAAATAAACAAGAATGCAATCTAAGCCTAACATACTACACAGGATTTTAATCAAATAGTGTCTCATCCTGTTAGATAGTACAAGCAGTCCATCAAGCTTCCATACACAGGCTAGAAATCCCTTTAGCCTGGGACCAGCACTTCCCCCGGTTCAGTCTTTTTCCTCAGGTGTTCTCTTGTGTGGGGAGTGAGGCCCTGAAATGATGTCACTCCCCATCTTTTATAGTCTCTCCGTAGGGTGGGAACCCCTTTGTTCTAAGCCAAGTTCCCAGCTCCCTTTGTGGAAAAATACAGGTACCAAAATGGAGTTCAGTATCATGTGGTCTGGTCACATGCCCTTGCATGCCTCACTGAGTCATAGCAGCTATCCATAGGCTGTCTGAAGGGTTCCCAGGTGAGGACAAGCCTTTTCCATGGTCCATTGTCTTTGTTGATGAGCCATTAGCACTGTTCAGCTTCTTCATTGTTGTACGTGAAAGGCTAGTTGTGGGTGTTTCCAACTTCAC